ATTTGCAGGAATCAGCGCCGCTAACTGCCTTTGCTGCCCACAGCCAAGTCCTGACCCAGAGGGCCAAGCTGCTGATGGAGAACAGTTCTCTGGAGCAGCAGAACATAGAGCTCCAGATGCTGCTGCAGCAGTACCTGGAGTCCAAGGTGGGTGACGGCCGGAGGAGGCCGGAGGGGGCCGGAGGGGGCCGGAGGGGGCCGGAGGGGGCGGCCCTGCAGCTGGTGTTAGGAAATGAGGTGTCCTTTGCCCAAGCAAGGGAGCCCCCAGGCGCGACAACAGAAGATCATGTTGTACCTGCAGTGGAGACGGCCGCTGGGCGAGGGGCGGGCCCCTCCCGAATGCCCTGCAGGGCCCTGGGCCGTGGTCCTGGCCCTGGTGCCCAAGGTCTGTGCGGCAGCGGCCAGCGGAAGCTGTGCCGTGGCCAGCAGCGGCCGGGCAGCACGGAGCCCTTCGTGCCTGTCTGCCCTTGGTCCCGGCAGCTGCTCTGCCAGGCGGCCTGCGACCTGACGCTCTCTTCACCAAGGGGAGACCCGCTCCAGCCAGAGACGTTGGGGCCGGCCCAGACCTCCGCTCTTCCTGGTCTGCAGGCCCGGGCCTGGGGGGGCGGTGCAGGGGGGACTGGGGGTTCTGGGAGGGCGTGGGAGAGGGCGCCAGGGCGGAAGCTTAGGGATGCTTCCAGAGGCTGGTTAGGGGGGCAGGAGCCAAGAGAGGCCCGAGACGTCTGTTCCAAAGGAAGCTTCAGATGGTGGCTTCCCGGGCACCTGCGAGCGTTCGGGGAGGGCGTGTGTTGGACATCTGGAGGTCGGCGGGAGAACCCCCATGCGCCCCTGAGCCCCAGAGGTCCTGGAGGAAACATAATGAGCCCTTTGCTCTTTCTTTTCCAGATAAACTCTGAGCTGCAAGTTCCTCCAACACAGGTGTTCCGGGTCCCCACAAAATAGAGCCAGACCCCAGAAGGCTGCCGTGTGAGGCCGACCAGTGTGCCAGGGCACACTGGTGCCTGGCCGCCCTCCGGGCCTGGGCGCTGCCCCTATGGGGCCTGTCAGAAAAGGGGCGGGCCTCCCTGTCTCCCTCAGTCATAATTAAAATTTTTAAAAAGTTGAGGCTGAATCTCCATGAAAGGTCAGCTCTCTCTGGCATGGGCCCCGCCCCCCCGTGAGATGAGGCCACTTAGTCCCAGCTCGGACATGGTGCTGGAGTGGGCCCGGCGCCCTCGTGGCGGCCAAGGCTGGTGGCCGGGGCTCCCTTCTCGTTTCGGGGTTGGGGGGTTGGTTTCTATGGAACTTTGGGGGTTCTTGTACTTTTTAAATTTATTTTTATCAATTTCTTTTTTTACATCATTCTTCATTTTGTGCATTTTTCATCTCTGTTGTAATCCCCATGGGCTTCTAAGAAGCCTTCAGACAGCCCTTGGGTTTGAAGAACCCTTTAGGTGAACTTTGGGGTCTCAGGCCCATCTACCCTGGTGCTCTCCCCCTGTCTGTGATGTGAGGCTTTTCCTGAAGGAGTCAGGGCAGGTGGCCCTGTGCCTCCACCTTGAGCCCTGGCCCATGAGACCACACAAAGGGGGAGAGCCAGAGGTGGTCCCAGCTGGCTTGCCAACTGCAGGTGGCCCCGCGCCCCCCACTTGACCAAGCAGACTCGTCAGCTTCAGTCTCTGATTTCTTTTATTGAGAGCAAGATAACCACTCAAGAGCAGAAGACAGCCAAGAGAAAGCAGCTCGCTGGGGCCGCGGGGTGGGGGGGCTGTGCACTGTGCTCTGGGCCTGCCCGCTGCGGGCCGGGGGTGATAGGAGGGTGCTGGCCGCCTCTGGAGCCGTCCCGGTGGCCGTCCCGGTGGTGCTGGCTCTGCTGGCCAGGCCCTTCTGGGGGGGGGGAGGGCGACACTTTGACTTGCTTGATCTTTTTAAAGCTCTGGGCACCGACCTGTAATGCCAGGCTTGGTGCATTTCATTAGGGCCTTTAACAGGGCTGGAGGGCCTGGGGAGGGTTTGGGCACTCTCCTCTGGAGCCAAGTTCTGAAGAAGGCGCCTGGGCAAGTGGGCCAGACCCCTCACCCCTTCCCACACTTCCTGCCCTCGGGCGGGGCCCAGGGGCAGGACCAGGCAAGCAGTGGGCTGGGCTGGGAAGGTCGGGCACTGGGGAGTGTGCAGCCCAGCGAGCAGGGCACAGGCTCCTGGGCCTGGAGGCCAGCAGGGGACGCCGGCCCCTCAGACGCCCCAGGGAGATGGGGAGTCCACGCCAAAGGAGGGTGAGCACGCGGGCTGGGAGGGGCGTGGTGGGGGGCCCTCACGCCCCGAGGAGCTTCTTGACCATGTAGCCAGGGAGGCTGTAGAGGAAGAGGGCCAGCATGAGCAGGCCCAGCAGAGCCAGCACGATCTTGATGATGAGCCACTTGTACCGGGTGCAGATGAGGTACTTGATGGACTTGAGGGGGTTGAGGAACCAGACGAAGGCCGTGTCGGGTCGGCTGGGGTGGGGGAGTGGAGTCAGGCAGCGGCATCGCCCGGCACCTGCTCCCTCGGCCTGTCTGTACCCCCAGAGGCCCCAGGCCTAAAAGCAAGGCCTGCTTACATCGCCTGTCCTCTCTGCGGAGCGTGCTGACACCCCAGTCTCCTCCCAAGACAGGGACGGCCCTTCTGGCAGGGAGGCAGACCCGGGCCTCCGCCTGGGCGGGTGTGCGGGCCGGGCCCACTGGCAGAGGCAGGCCCTGCACCTGGCAGTTCGGATTCCGAGGCAGCACCTCTGCTCAGTGACTCCCCGTAGCGCCAGAGTTGCCCGGCTCTCGCTCAGAGGGGTCAGGCCCCTCGCCTGTCCCGTGGGCAGACTGTTCCTGCCAGGCCTGCCCACCGTCAGGGTGGGCCCAGGGCCCAAGCCCCCACACAGTGCTGCAGCCGAGAAGCACTTGTCAGCGCTACCTCTCGCCATTTCTCTGCCAAAGCACTGTGGTTTTATAAAATGCCAAGATTCAAGTACTGAAATGTGCTTTTCAACCTCCTGCCCTGCCAACTCCAGCAGGACAGGACGGTGGGGCTGCAGGGTGGGGTGTCCCAGGGCCCTGGGCTTCCGGTCCCAGCTGCGAGGGGCAAGGCGGGCACCTCTTTGAGCCATCGTTTCCCCTCTCACACGAGGGCAGATGAGGCCCAGTTCTCATGAGCGGGATAAGCTGCTGCACGTCCCTGGCCTAGTGCGTACAGCAGTCATGTCCAGTCTGTGGTCAGTGACACTATGGGGACGCTTGACAGTTGCTGTGTGTATGTGTGTGTGTGCATGTGCACAGGTGTGAGCATGCACATGTGCGCACTGGGGTGAGTGTGCACACGTGTGAGCATGCATACCTGGGTGAGTGCATCTGTGTGAGCATGCATATGTGTGAGTGCATGTGTGAGCGTGCGCATGTGGGATCACGAACGCGTGTGGGTGTGCACACGCACGAGAGCACATGTGATACATGTGAGCACATGTGATGCACGTGTGTGATCATGCATGTGTGACTATACACACCGGAACGTGCATGCGTGAGTATGTACATGTGTGCACGTGTGAGTGCAAGTGTGTGAGCGTGCACATGTGATGTGCATGTGTGTGAGCGTGCACATGTGATGTGCATGTGTGCGAGTATACACACATCTGAACGTGCATGTGTGAGTATGCGCATGTGTGAGCGTGCACGTGTTTGAGTATGCACATGTGTGAGTGTGCATCTGCGTGAGTGTGTGCATGTGATGTGCACATGTGCAAGTATATGCATGTGTGAGTATGCACGTGTGAGCACGCACATGTGTGCACATGTGATGTACATGTGTGCGAGTATACACACATCTGAGCGTGCATGTGTGAGTATGCACATGTGAGCGTGCACATGTGTGAGTATGCATCTGCGTGAGTGTGCGCATGTGACGTGCACATGTGTAAGTATATGCATGTGTGAGTATGCACATGTGTGAACATGCACGTATGTGCACGTGTGTGCATGGGTGTGAACACGCGCACATGTAAGCGCGCACATGTGAGAGCATGCACACATGTGAGTGTGCACGTGTGTGTGTTGTATGATCCATGTGCTGCCCAGCCCGAGAGCCCAAGGGCTGGGGGGGAGGAGGGGGCAGTACCAGACCCAGGACTCTGGGGCTCAGGCCCCCAGGATCTTCTTGACCAGGTAGCCGGGCACAGAGTAGAGGAAGAGGGCGAGGAGGAGCAGCAGCAGCGCCAGCAGCAGCAGTTTGAGGAGCAGCCAGCGATAGGTGTGCCACAAGAAGTAGCGGGCAGACTTGAGAGGGTTCAAGAACCAGATGAAGCTGGTGTCAGGCCGACTGGAGCAGCGAGAGAGGTGGAGGAGGCAGAGAGACAGGACAGAGGGTGAGGCCGGCTGCTGGCCAGGGGCGACCGGCCAAGAGGTGGCCTGGGCTGAGGGGTGCAGGCCCCCAGCTGTTAAGGAGCAACGCCGCCCTGCGGCTGCTCGCCTTTGGCAAAGCCCAGGAAGAGGACTGAGCTCTGCTACGTGGGGCTTCCCTGGGGGAGGTGCTGCACCCCAGTCCTGACAGCCCAGGGCTGTACAGGTGGGTTCTGGGGTGGAGCTCGGTGAGGTGGAGGATCCCCTACAATGAGGCTGTGGTCCAGGAGGGGCCAGAGAGGGTGGAGCTGCCTGGGGAGTGGAGACAAGATGGGCTGGTTCTGGCGCCTCCTCCCTGTTCCTGCTGTTGGGGGGTGGGCGAGGGCGGGCACTCACTTGGGCTTCTCTAGGGGGTCAGGCTCGTTGCGGGCCAGGCCCACTGGATTCTTCTCTGCCTCCTCTGCCGTTAGTAGATGCAACTCTGCCTCCACCTTGCCCTGCAAAGAGGGACAGGAGGGTCCCGTGCCCGCCGGCGCCGGCCCCAGCACCCCAGCCTGACCCTCCCCAGCGCAGGGCCGTGGCGGTGCCCACCGTGAGCTCGAACTCATCATTCTCATTGCGGGCCAGGAGCGGCCACCAGCCCTTGACGCGCTTCTGCTTGAAGATGGACACCAGGGGCACGTCCACCTCCCCCGTGGCCATCTCCATGGTGCACTGCTTGGCGGTCTTCGCGCCCCGCGGGAACCGGTTCAGGTCCAGCTCGATGGCCCCTGTGGCGACCTCAGAGTCAGCTCTGACGGGTCCTCGGGTTGGACTGACCCCACCCTCTGCTGGGCTCCCCCGGCCCCCTCCCTGGCGCCCACAGTTCTGCAGGCCCTCAGCCCCGGCAGCCCCTTACCCAGGAAGTCGTCGGCAGAGAAGTGGTCGGCGTCCCAGATCTGCAGGGTGAGCCGCGCGGGGATCTTGTATTCGGTCTCATCCCAGGAGAACATGGACTCCTTCTTGGAGATGACGATCTTTTCCTCGGCAGCCAGGTAATCGAAGGGGAACAGGTAGCGCCAGTTGAAGTTGCCCTCGCCGGTCAGGGAGTGGTAGTGGACGTCGGTGTCCTGCTTGTCCTCCTGCTGGCCCTTCAGCCACCTGTGGGGGGTCACCTGCTCCAGACAGGCCATGCCAGGGGCACCTCCCCGGGCCCCAGGTCGCCTCCGCTTCCCTGCCTCCCAGGAAGCTGGGCTCTCGCCACGCAGCCTCCTCCCAGCCAGGCAACTGCTCACCCACCCCCGCACAAAAATGTCGCTGGACTTCTCCCCGGTGAAGAAGTCGTCATCCTCCAGGACCACCTCGTCTGTGTTCCACACGATGACCCGCAGCTCATACCTGGGAGGGGGGAGAGGGCTGGGAGCAGCCCGGAGGTGGAGGGGGTGGTATCCCCCTGAATACCGCCTGGGGCTAGGATGGGGCAGGGGCCAGAGAGGAGACGACCAGGAGAAGCCTGTGGACGCAGGTGAGCCTGGGACTTGGCCAGGCTGGGGCTGAGAGTGCAGAGGCAGGGAGAAGCTGCTATGGGAAAGTGGGGTCCGGGGGGGGGCAGGAGTAGGGGTCCGTCAGCATGATGGTTTGGGGAGGCCCGGTGGAAATGCCAGGACCCAGAGGGTACTCATGGGCAGGGAGGCTGCCTCGGGGTAGGAGTGTGGACGCCTGTGGCATCTGGCATCCATGAAATCCAGTAGCCTTTGCGGCCTTTTTTTTTTTGCATAGAAGAGCTGAGGTGTGGGGGTGAGAGGATTCACCAGAGACAGAGTGG